GGGGGGGTGATGGGATTGTCTTATCAGCGTCGGGGCCCGGGGAAAGACACCGGCCGAGACGATTCAGGTGCCCCGCCTGCCACCGCGGCCGGTGACGTTCGCGTTGCGGGGCAGAAGGCCGTTCCTGTCGGCGGCCTCTCCTCCGCCTTCGAGCGAGGGCAACTCGCTGACGGGCTCGCGCCTGCGCAGTGCGAACGGCAAGGCTGCCATAAGCACGGCGAGGGAAGGCTTTCGGGCCGGGCCATGGCAGAAGCCAGGGAGGCCCCGAGAGAAGGTGGAGGTGGCGGCGGAGGCGGCGGGAGCGTCCCCCGGGCCCAAGAAGAAGAAGAAGAAGACAAAGAAGTGGCGATGAGCGCGGGGGAATACTCCAGGCGCGTGCACCAATGGCTCTGGGACTCGTACTGCGGTTACCTCAGCTGGCAGGGCGGCCTGGCGGCGCTCATGGCCGGAGCGGCGAACGCGGTCGCGGCTCCGGCCCCGCCCCCCGGCGCCTATTACCACAGCGCCAACTTCAACCCCTGCTACTACCTCCTGGCTGCCTCCGTTGCCCCCGAGGCCGGCTCGGCTCCGGCCCGCCCGACCCCGGCTTGGCCCCCGCCCGCAGTTCGACATGGGCCCCCGGCCCTGCGCCCGGCTCCTCCCGCCGTCGCTGCCCCAGCTGGCGGTTCCCAAAGGGAGCCTGGCCGGCCCGCAGGTGAGTCGTTCTTTCCAGGTGAAGAAGGGGTTGTGGGGAAGAGGGGAGGGAGGCTCCTGTGAAGACCTTGAACGTTTTTGACGAGGATAGTAGAGAGGACGGTGCGAAGATGAGCAGCTGGATGCCTGAGATAGGTTTGGAGCTCATTTCCCTGGCTGATACAGGTAGTCCTCGACTTAACAACAGTTCGTTCAGTGACCGTTCAACGTTACCATGGCGCTAGAAAAAGGCACAACTGGCACACTTGACAACTGTCGTAACATCCCCACAGTCACGTGATCAGACTTCAGATCCTTTGCGCTCAGTGATGGGTTCCAAAAATTGTTGGAACCTACTCTGTGGGTG